CTCCTGGTGTGTCTCTGAAGCCTTCTCCACGAATGGCGCTGGCTTCCCGGCGTGTCGGCGCTTCCCTGCTCGCAGCCCCACGGATTGCAGCGGGGGTGTTATCCCGTTTCTCTGTAACTGTCTCTGGGTGGTTCTCTGCCACCGCTCGTGGCTCCTTCCCCCGTGTGGTTGCTTGGCGGTGCAGGGAAGGCTGGAAGATGCCTTCACTCACGCAGCAGGGAACAGAGCAGGGTAACTCCACGCGTTTTGTTTTTCCCACATTCCTCACCGATGCCATGTGTAACTGCCTGGGTGCCACGGCAGCATGCTCCGATTCTGTGGCCTCCAATCCAAATCCCACGCACATCAAAAAATCTTCAAAAGCCTCACTTTAAGCATAATAGCACTTTTAGCTCTGATTTGCTTGTCATACATAGCATGTCCCTCTCAGCAGCTGAGGGCATTGGCATGCCAGCACAGCATGGCTTCCTGCCACATCCTTTAAAGAGAGTTCTTCACCCTACGGCTGCCCTGTTCCTTGGATAGCTCCTATCAGCCTTTTTTAAAAATGGCAGATGGGAGTGGACCTGCATCTCACCACCCATGTTCTCAGCTTGGACCTTTCCTTGGGCATGTCCTTACATGCTATTTCCACTACAAGACCCAAACCTGCAGCCCAGTGAGGAGATGGTGACTGCAGACTGATGGTCTGCAGCCAGAGACCATACACCAGGACGTACAGCCACTCTGGCACAGTACTGTTATTGTACAGCACAGCTTCTCTCTCATATTACTTCATTTTAACTAACCTCTCTCTGCTGCAGAGATCACTTATTTTGTCCTGAAAACTTGATTTTGGTAACTACAGCATATAGTAGGAGAAAAAACAAGAATCCCAACAAACCACAAGCTAAAAGAAACCCCAGCTCTCCAGTAGTTCTCCATTTAAAGTAGCTTGAGACCTAGTCCATTTGCAGAGCAGGTAAGTGAGGGCACCTAGCACCCAAAAATGAGTCCCAAGGGGTTACTTTGGTTTTCTACTTGGGAGTACAGCTGCGCCAATAAAAGGTTAAAGTCCACATACAGGATCTTGATCCTGCAGAGTACACAGCTGCTCATAACTGTATCCCTGCTAAGCAAGAGAACAGTAACACTGCCAGTATCCTAAATGTTGTGAAAAAGGGTTCAAAGGGAAAAAATGAAAATTCTTATAGGGAAGGGCAATATAACCTTGAGCTATTTTTCATGCAATAGCACACTACTGTCTTAAAAAATAGTTTAAAAAAATTACAAATTAGTTCAAATAAGCACAGAAGTCATGTTCAGTTTTAATTATTAGCTTTCTAAAGTTCATACAACTGAAAATAAAATGGTTGTTTGCTGGAAACACTTTTCCTCCCTGTCTCTCCCATTTTGCTGTTGTTCATGAAAACTTCAAAAGAGTTTATTTTCACCAGTGTAGTCCAAGTACTGATTAAATATTCACACTGATTTGTTTTTCCAGCTTTCCTCAGGATGACTCAGTGGTACCAGCTACAGCAGCTCGACTCCAAGTTTTTGGAGCAAGTTCACCAGCTATATGATGACAGCTTTCCTATGGAAATCAGGCAGTACCTGGCACAGTGGCTGGAAAACCAGGATTGGTAAGCATAGAGATGTGCTTTCAGGTTGTGTGATGAGTAGTTTTCTCATCTGTGCAGTTATAGGCAGTGGAAGTGTGCTGAGGAAGCAAGCTGCCAGGTGAAGGTTTGCTGGTAGGACACCTCTGTAGCAGTGTGGGTTCTACAGTCTGTGTTCCTGCCCCTCTTCAGGGTTTTCTAGAGGGACCTGATACCCAGTGTGGCAAATAAAAGATCTGACATTTCCCTCAGTTGGTCTGTAACAAAAGCAGCTGTTCTAAGACCAATCACTTACTACCTTGACAGCTCAGTCTGTCACTGTTCATAGACTTAAAACTTTCACCAAGATTTGTGTGGAGTGTCTTCTTTTAGAAGAGTGGTACAACGTGCACATCTCCCAGGGTCACTTTTGGCTTCTTGGTGTGCATGGAATGAGTAAATGAAGTTGCACACAATGTGGCAAAAATCATATAGAGAAAAGCAACTTTCCTTGATACAGAAATGAAGTCAAAATTGAGAGAATGAAACTGGTTAATGTTTGAAGCTAATTCTTAATGCTTGCATGTACTATTAACTGGAGTTGGGGATTAAAAATACTCCTGTATGCATTTCTGGAATGATGTATTGAAAGTGTATTTAACATTAGCATGCCTGAAATTATTCTAGGGAGCATGCAGCCAACAACGTGTCCTTTGCTACGGTGTTATTCCACGACCTGCTGTCACAGCTGGATGATCAGTTTAGTAGATTCTTGATAGAAAACAACTTTTTGCTGCAACACAACATAAGGAAAAGCAAACGTAATCTGCAGGTATGCCTGGGGTATATGCCTATGCCTTTGCTTGCGTTGCTTCAGCAGTGCAGTCAGATGCCTCTAAGCAAACTGCCCTCCCGTGTTCACAGAGAATGTGAGAGAATCCTAATTTGAAAGCCAGAATTCAGAAAGCAGCATCTGCTGCTGCTCCACTTTCACTTTAATTGGCTACTGCTAGAAAGTTGGTTTCGTTACTAGCACAGTTACGGTTTCCCAGAAATCTAGGAGGTAGAAAGTTATTGTTTGCAAAGTGTTTACTACATGTATTTGGAGTGCTCACTCAAAAGTGGTTTCACTTAGCCCACCCCTTCTCCAGTCAGTTTTCTCAGTGTCCTAATAAGCTTCTAATGCAGAAGAAATACATGGCAAGGATTTCTGCCTCTGTAACTGCAGAACTACACTTAATAGCAAGGGGCTTCTCATTATACAGCAGTTCTGTGCATCACGCTGATAACAGGTCAGAGCAAGTGGCAGCAAGTGACAGTGCAGAGCATATCTTCAGTGGACTCAACTACTCCTGCTAGTCAGTCCTCCTCTCCTCCCTGTAGTGCTCTATGCCAGAGGATCTTCCATAAAGTCACCTTCTCCTCAGCCTATTTCCCACACACTTAGCTTCTCCTCACCACAAGTCAGTGACAACAGGACTGCTTTCTAAGGAGAGGAGCACATGGCCAAGCTATACTTACCTCAATCAAGAAGGCAGGTGCAGCTCAACAACCCCCCAGGCAGCAGCATCCCTCAGTCCAGTCCATTTCAACTTCACATGCATGTACAACAGTGAGGCTGAATTTGTATCCAGCCTTGACTGCGTGTTCCTAAGTGGCAGCTTGACATGTCTCCCTCACATCACTCAGCAAGAGCTGTACCTGTCAGACCAGAGCAAACCCTTCAAAACCAGCAGCTGTACTTCAAAGTTCTCAAGAGGGTGGCTCTCAAGAGAAGCTGATCTCTCTCTCTCTCTCTCTCTCTCAGCCTGTAGGGTAGTATCTCACTTCTCTCAGTAATGTAGAGGGTGGTTCTCAAGAGAAGCTGAGCTCTCTCTAGGCCTGTAGGGTAGTATCTCACTTCTCTCAGTAATGTGTCTGACCCTTCTTTTGTGCCAAGTCCCATCTCCTCATACACTCATGAGCTACAGTAGACTCCTGTTCTTGGGGATAGCTGCAGCTGTCACATTCCCTGTAGCCTCAGAGCATGCTGTGACCAATGGGTCCCGAGGCTCACACGCAGCCATCACTCATCTTTTTGCCAATCAGTTTACTGAAGAACAAGAAATTATGGGTATGGACTTTAAACAGACTGTCTCTAATGCCAGGATAACTTCCAAGAAGACCCAATACACATGGCAATGATCATCTACAACTGTCTGAAGGAAGAGAGGAAAATCCTGAACAGTGCCCAGCTGTCAAATCAGGTAACAGTCTTGGAATGCCTGCTGCAGTGGTATCTACCCTTTCCTATTATTTATGTCTTAGATACAGAAGAGGAAACAATGATATGCAACAGCTGGTCAGTGTGGCTTCATTCTGTTGTCTGAAGCATTCAGAGGGGAAATGTCAAGGAAGTAACTTCTATTCCTTGAGTAATGCAGAAGCTATGCTGGTTTTTTAATGCTTCTGTAGTATAGCTTGATGTGCTCAGATTTTATTACAGTTTAGTGCTTGCCTGATTTCTCCAGCAAGGTTTTATTTTTTTCTCTTCTGCATTTTATTCTGGAATTTACTCTACATGAAGCAGCTGAGCTTTGATGCTTCTCTGGACTGTCTCTCTGGGTAAATGATGCATCGTTCTCCTTCCCAGTTATCTCCAAGAACTTTAGTTTTACTTTCTAAATGAAGCCCATTTCATTTCTCTGAAACATTGGTAAAACCATATTCTTTTTCCTTCTGTGTTCTCTTTTTATCTTTTTGATTTTTTTCCTTTGCAAAGAGAACTGTTTTGCAATAAAAAAAAAACCCTGCACTCTGAAACGTTGGTAAAACCATATTCTTTTTCCTCCTGTGTTCTCTGACTTTTTTATCTTTTTGATTTTTTTCCTTT